CTGTTATGGCTGCAAGAAACCGCAAGAATTTTAAGAGGCAACAAAACAACACAGGAGGTACTACCTTGTGCTATTTTTCGTCTATTCTCGTGCAGCATTTAGAGTAAATATATCGATTCTCATGTCATTGTGTTTCATGTAAAAGTTGAGTTTCATGATCAGTTTGATACGTTTTCTTTTCTAATGGTCCAGTTGAGGATGCACAGTTAAATTTTGACATTTATGGTAGAATATTCAAACAAGTTTAGAATACATTGAGCTCACATTCGATTTTCGACTTGTAAGTACCTATTACCTGAAAGCTTTAACGGCACAAATCTTTCTTAAGGTGAATTTTTTCTGATTGAGTAAAATTATTCACTAGCCGCAGATCTGAGTGTTTCTAAGGAAGACCTCATGGCCAGTATTCGAAGGTTGGAAGCGCAGTTAGCTCAGGAGAAGTTTTTCCACGAGAAATCTAAGGCTGAACAGCAGCAAGAGATAAAGGTAAAATGTATTGAGTTTGATTCTTACTTCAGTTTCCATACCACTGTTTCATTAAGTATGGCCGCACAGAAATTGTATCTACAATTAGTCACTCCCTCAAGAGAACTGCCAGTATAATTCGGGAAAAATGCAACATCCGTCCCCATGAGATTTTAACCTGGGCCTATTTGTTCGAAGGCCGATTAGTACTAACCCAGGAATTTGTCAGTATATGTATTATTTAGGGCATAAAACTTCTGGATTATTATCAGTATCTGGGCAACTGCCCACCTACCCCTCCCCTAACCCAACATTAACCCTAACTTGTTATCGATCGACTGTTGTTGACTTAGGGGAGGGGTAGGTGGGCAGTTGCCCAGATACTGATATTGATCCAAACTTCTCTACTGAATTTTCTAAATTTCTTACACCTTTCAGATTCTTAACGGAAAAGTTAAGAATTTAGAAAGACAAAAGAAAGCTCTTTGGGTCAAGTTGGAAAAGAATCCGCTTGAACAGCTTAACAAGTTACAAAGAGAGCTCAATGATACAAAGAAAAAACTGGATGAAGCAAATCAAAAGATGGCTGTGAGTATAATGGTCCCTGGGCATATCTTTTTTTTTTTTCCAGAGATTTGCTCAAAATGGTTGAAGGTTGTAGGAGCAGAGATCGTGCAGTACCTATCTTCCAGCATCTCTTTACAATCGTATATTCACGCATCAGATATAACCTTTGTAACAAATTTTTATTTTTCCTTCCTTCGAAATGAATTCAAATAAAGAAAACAAAATGTTTAATGTATCTGTGACACGTAATTTAACATGACTGAATAATTTCATTATTATGTCGGAAACAGAACTTCAATAAACAGATGGAAAAGCTATCGCGATCCAATAAAGAAATCCAGAAGGCGAAGGAGAAAGTTACTGATGAGTTTTTAGAAAAGATCCAGCAAAAGAACTCCAAGATTCATAAGCTTGAGGTCAGTTAGTTTGATTTGGGCTGGAATGGGAAATAAACCTCCATTTCCGCGTATAACTAAAAAGCAATTTAGTGATCAGAGCCTTGATTGTCTGTCTCTGCCTTTCTACTGCTTAGAGAAATTGACAATCTACCCTCGAACATCTTCTGATTTTTAGTAATTAACTTTTCATAAGATTTCTTTCTGTACGTCAAATGTTTCGTTTTCAGGTAAAAATTAGGGATTTGAAAACAACTAATTTTGATGTCCAAATTCAAGAATCTCCTGCCAAGAGTGATTCCCTGAAGGTAAAATGTATAGTAGATGGGTCTCGTTTTTTTTTTTAATCATTTGGAATTGATCATTTCAGTAGTTACTGCTTACTACTTTGTTAAGCCGTTACTGCTTCAGGGGTCTGGGGAGAGGAAAAAGGAAAGCACGCTGGGAACGATGGGAAGATCAAGGAAGAGGAAAGCCTCCTGAAATTCTTCACTTTTTCTGTTGCCCCCTCCGCGCACTCTTTTCCATTCATAATTCAGACATGTTATGAAAAATGTTGTCGTTTCATCTATAATCTTAATCTCATGACCATATTTTCACGCGTAAATGCACATGTTGTAATAAGTTCAAACTTGACATTGTAGAATTCCTCCGAGACCGTGTGTCTTTTTGGATGTAATGAATAGAAAGAGTAAGTTTCTAAAGAAACTGTAGTGCTGCGTTAGTGGGAGAGTAAAACAGAGTAATTTAGTATTATCACCCGAGTTGATAATGTAAATTGAAGGGCTAATGCTCGAATCGTCAGCTTTTAAACTCGTTACGGTGGCCAGTTTACGTTATCAACTCAGTTGGTAATTGTTTTTGGATGTAAGCTTGCATCTTATGTTGTTACTGAATAATGTCTTGTTGCTTAGTTAAGTGTCACTACCGAGAAGTCAGAAAATTGGGAAGAAGATCTAGAGATTCAACGAGAGGAAGAAAAAGAACAAAAAGTGAGCGATGTATATGTAATATGTAAAAATTAAATTAGATTCAATCACATTAATATCAAATTGTTCACTCCGACCAATCAGAATAGAGAAAAATATTACCTTCGCATGGAGCCAGTGGCGCGAATTTCTTTAGCCAATCAGAAAGGGCAGCAAAGCAAAATGAAAATCAAACAAATTTTATATCACGTTCGACCCTTGGTTTCCAATGACGGACTACTTGATAGCAGCCTCATAGCCAATTGGGTGTATTGCTTTTATTTTTCACCACATTCCTATTTTTTTTCATTTATGCACTTTTTATTGCCATCAAACATTAAAGATTGTTTCTCAGGGTCCATTCGCTCGGAATCCTGACAATCATTTCTCGTGTTCAGGTTGGCGTCATTTACATAATACTCACTGCGCTTTTCAAACATGAACTTCAAATCATATTCATGTGTGTTTTATTGCATCTTTCACAATTCAAAGGTGACATCCGAAGGATATGAAAAAACTCAGACAGAGCCTGTGGAAACTTGCACTGTGAACTTCTTTCCATCTATTCACACCGCGGTTGCTAAAAACAAGGAAGGTCATGATTCCAGTCAGCAAGCCCATCAAGGGAACGAGACGACTTCAATGAATTACTGGGAAAGTTCATGCGCAAGCCTCGAGGAACAACCACCACCAAGTGATGAAAACATTCTAGAGAACAATGGCGAGGATATCGCACAAGATTCTGTTGAAAAAATTGACGAGTGGACTATGACAGACAGAAATGAGAATAGGAAAAGTAACTGCGCGGAAGATCACATTTCCTCGACAACCTCTGGCACGAATCAACAAGAGCGCACCGCCAACTGCAATAGTACATACATGAGGCGTCTTAGGAATTTATATACAAAGATGGGCCTCGGATCGAAGGCAAATGCGGCTGAAGACATCGCTGGAGCATGCTTACAAGTTCCTGTGGAATACTTAAAGATGATGACTGCAAATAAACGACCTCCACCCGGCTTTCACCCTAACGATATTGGTTTCACTCCCATGGCGAGTTTATCAAATAACATCTTGTACTTTGTTCCAGTACAAACTGTTAACAACTTTCATTAAGTAAAAGAAATCGAGATAAGAAGCTTGTTAAGTTGATAATATTGTTACAAAGTTTTCCTTTGTACTTAAAGATCTGCAGTCTGTTTTGTAATGACTATATAGGGAAATAAAACTTGCATTTACTTCCGTTTGAATTATGTGGTTTTGTGTAATTTTTACAGTTATTTAATTTCTCTTTGAACGGGGCTGTTAAGTCGAATCATTCATTTCTGATGTAAATTCTAGGCATCTATTGTGATCAACCGAAATGCCCTGCACCCTAAGTAGCAAATGAAGTCTGTCATCGTAAATATTTTCATTTGAAACAATGGGTCTTCGACAATGGAGTGGATTAACCTCGATGTTTTTTCGCAAGGGCGCATTTCGATTTAGTGTCGCTTTAACCTGAATTTTTTTCAGGTGCCTCTTCCTGAAATTTTTCATCAGTTCATTGGTGAGGATGATTTTGTAAATAAATTTACTTACTTACTATTACGTTATTAACTTGTGAATAGTAGACATATTTGAGCATCATTTGCCTCTTTCTTTTCTTTTTTCACCTCGCTTTTTTTAAACCCATCATCCTAAATGAAGGGCACACTCCGAGCATATGATCTGTCCGGTAGGAAGAAGTCGAACCAAAGAAGAGAGAATCCACAATAAGAAACAAGTCTGTCATGAAACCCAACTGGAAAACGGAACAGCGAACCTTGCACTTCTTTCACACAAGGTAAGTATTAATAGCAAAATAATTTGACATGATTTCTGAACAAAACATCTTTAATTGAAAAGTTCCACGTTTCACTCCCTATGCATTTTGTAAAAATTATGATATAAAGAAAGAAAACATTTTTGCGAATTTAATTATAATCTGTACATTTATAACAAATGAGTGAATGTTTCTATCCATAACATGACTGCATCACTCCTGTGAGATATATTACATAGGCAAAAGGGGTCAAATCATCTGCTTGTTAATCCTTTAACTCCCAAGATCTGATTGTTAATTCTCCCCTGTAGCTGCTACACATTTCCTTGTAAATTAGTTATGAGAACTTAGTTCTAGATCAAGATAGCAGCTTCTACCTGATAAGGTTGAATATTCTCGTTATCTCTTTGCTGAAGAATGTATGGATATTGTAGGGAGAAGTTTTATGTTCATCACTTCTGGGAGTTAAAGGGTTAAACAAAACCATCAGGAAGACGGTTGTATCTTGCTTGATTAACATAAATAATTATCACTTAGAGGGCTGGTTACTTAAGCAAACCTTAGTCGTTGTTTAACAAAACCATGCTCTAAACTATCTTTAATTTAGCCCAACTTTTTATCTGAACATTCATTTTTATGAACAGTGTCAAGAGGACTGAAAGTCAACAGTGGAAGGACATTATTTTATTAACCCTTTAACTCGCAAGATCTCGTTAGTAATTCTCCTTACTATCTCCTATACAGTTCTTCTGATGTTAGTTTGGAGGATTTAGTATTAGATCATCTTATAATCCCCTGATTGATATTTCTCTTTGATATTGTTAGGAGAAATTCTTTCTTGGTCACTTATGGGAGTTAAAGGGTTAAATCAACCCTCTTCTAGAGAATACTTGAGGTCCATTGTTTGCATGGAACTGCAATTTGTGTTAGACCTTGTTTAAATAACTGGTTAACAATCTTTTTGTGATTCCATTTGTGTTTTACATGACTGTTGATTACAGTCACTTATTGACTTACCACATTAAATCAACCATTTTTAATGATTGTTATAAAATACAAAAAGACAGCTTAATTGGTTAAGTCAGATCGCCAGGGCAACAACATTAAACACAAAATGTTGGACACAAAAACTGCTTTCATCATTCTGGTTTTTGGAATTTAGAAACGGCCACTGGTTCACATGCAATACTCAAATGATAACCAATATCTAGCCAGCTTATTTGTTTGATTATCTACTTCTGCTATAAATTAAAAAGGTTTATTACAATGACAACTTTTAATGAAAGAAAAAATTTCAATAAAAATGGCCTACACAGCAGACATAAGCTGCTAAGACAAAGGGGAAAAATACAAGAAGAAAATGTTGGGAAGAACATTGAAATTTTGTTTCATTCATTTTCCTTTTTTATGAACAACTTTCTTTTCCTCTGCTCCTCCTGAAATTTTACTTACTTCTTCACACTTACCTTGTGGCATGTTTAACAATCTCTGCTCGGCAGCCACAAAAGGTAGGCTCTTAAAATATAATGGAGGTATTTTGACATTAATCCTTTCCCTTTTGTTTAGACATTGAAAGACATAATGTCCCTCCATGACCCCTGTGGGAGTAGAAAATGTTGTACAACTAATGTACTCATGGAGTGCCCCTGGGGTCATTACTGGAAACTCTCCAACCACACCATCCCCATGGACTTCTTCTTTGATTCCATTTGCATCAGTAATGTACCAGTGACGTGTTGTGAGCTGACATTTATTTATAAACTGAAATGTGAAAAGGCCAAAGAACTGTTAGTGTAAGGAAAGAAGTTTCTTTGATGCCCACTGTAAATAAATGTCTAGTTTCTGTGGTGTGAAGCTACTAATAATCATCACCTGTAATATGTTTGCAAAACAAATGTTTTTTAACCTTTAACTCCCAAGATCTAATTGTTAATTCTCCCCTCTAGCTGCTAAACATTTCCTTGCAAATTAGTTTAAAGAATTTGGTATTAGATCAAGTCAACAACTTCTAATTGATAAGTTTGAGAATTCTTATTACCTCTTTGCTGAAGAATTTAAGGATAACATAATAAGAAGTTACATGTTAATCACTTTTAGAAGTTGAGTGGTTTAAATATTGTCAAATCAAAGTCATGATGGTAACTGCTTTGTGGTAGTTGTACACAACATGATAAACATTTTTAAAACCTTGTGACATGGAAGGCATGAGTCAGTGACAAATTTGCATGATATTTTTTGCATGTAGCAAGCAACAATAGAGAATGATGTCTGTGATTTTAAGGAAAAATTCTTAAATTTAAAGTGCCTTTTACAACTTGTAACCTACCTCAGAACACTTGGGATCCATGGAAATTGATATGCGATATGTGAAGAAAAACAGGGGAGGTTTGACACTACTTAGCTCTGGAAGAAATGCAGTAGTAGTGGTAACTGTGATTCCTTGGGTTGTCGCAGAGGCAGAAAATAAGAACTTGTAAATTTCTTTGTTAATTACTGGGAAGCAGTTCCGAGACAACTGATCTGCATAGTTACACAGCCAGCTTTCAAAATTGCTTCCACTCAGAAAATGGTGCATTCTCATTGGAGAAATGTCAAAATTGTCAGCACTGCGATCTGGGCTTGGCCAAAACAAATCTCCTGGATTACGCCCCTCTTCATTTGTCAATGCCATAAATTGTCCATTTCCAGTATTCACACATAAGGAAACAGGAATACAGTTCCTCAGCCCATCACGGCTCTGAAGTGCTCCAGCAGCTATGCCAAGCTCCAAAAGAGATTCACTTTGGTAGTGATTGGAAATTGCCATGGATCCAATCAGCCCTGGACAGACAAGCTGCTGTCCGTTGTGGATACGAATTGAACATCTCAGTTCATTTGGAAGACTACAACCTGCAGGACAAATAGGTTTTCAAGTTGGCCTTTTTTATCTGTTAATAAGTTTCAAAGTAGAGAGGAAATTTGAACTTGTAGGAGAAAAGGTTACCATGGACACAATACGGATTCATGGAATGACGTGCAAGACAGGGAACTCACTCATTTAAATTGTGCCAGGCATTCCACAATCTTTCCACGAAACTTTGCCTAAAATGGCACACTAGCCACCGATTTTTGTTGGTTACTACCTCATACTGACAGCATGAAGTTCTCTCCAATGGACATACAATACTGAGTTTCTTCTTATAGTTGTCGTTGTCCAGCTTTGCTAACGATCAACGATATAAAATCTCATATGTTGTCATCTGAATTAAAAATTTTTGTTGGATGACCGTGTACCAAAAAAGAGGAAAAAAAAAGAGACACAAGAAAATGAATAAGATGAGAACCGTTCTGATAATTGACTTTAAAAATATGAGTTCAAACTCTGTAAAAGCTGCTGAAAATTTAATAACTAAATTATGAACACTCACCATTGAGTTTGTTAGCTTCGGTTTCGCGAATTTCTTCTTCTGACAATCCATCGTTCAAAGATGCATAAATATTAGGACAGTGAAGCTTTGTAAAGTCTTCAATGATGTTCCAAGCTTTTCTTATGGTTGCATAACAAGATTCATAGCGACCCCATTTCACTTTCCATTCCACAAATAACTGCTTCCATGTTCTTCCCGGCGGGCATTCTCCGACCAACCACACTTCATTACACCATGATTTCCACACAGGAAGATCGGAGACAACTTGATTGAATCGCGAACAAACCTGAGAGCAACTAAACAAGTCTTTCCTATCCAAGAACGACAGAACATTCACCAAAGGAATAGCAGGCAATGATGCCAAGTAAGAGCATTTGGCTGCCATGTTGTCTTAGAGTCATGATCCCACGGGAGCGGATTAAAGGGGAGGGGGAAGGTAGTTGTAAGAAAAGGGTAGTACCTTTGCTAATTTCGCTATCAAAATTATCAGTCGACACTTTCAAATTGTCTTTTCCTATTCTCTTATGTAGGTAAATTTTTTTTCGTTAAATTGGCACCACACCTGGCTGAATCTTTTCAGTCGCACTCTCGCAATTAAAAGAAAAAAAATCATATATAGGGGTGGGGTGGGAGAAAAGCGGTATTCGTCAATATTTTTGGCCCAGTCTACTCCAGCAAGTTCGTTTTTTGTATGTGTTTGAAACTCGATCACTGCCATGTCTGTCTACGTGTTGTCAAAAGTTACACATTAATTTAATACGAACTGCGAGTCGAACCGTTGGCAAATGAAATCGTTGCTGTCAAACCGACTTCTACGAGAGGTGACGACTAGTCGTGTATATTCAGCGTGAATTCTCTCTCTTACAGGTATTGAAAATATTTTTTGCTAATATGAATGAGTAATGCCATTGTCGTTAATAATACATTGGTCAGCTTGATATTTTGATTTCTGGTTAAGGTTGTTCGTGAAGAGTCTAACACAGTTAACAGAGGAGATACGCTCTTTTGAATTCATCGCTAACAGTACTTAAAAAATCACATTCAAGAAGCTCGTTAGGGGAGAATTAGATAATTTAATGGAGATATTGCGGTGGCTAAATTTTTGATGCTCTGCTTACGTACAATATTTTCAATTTTAAGAATTTCAGCCCGATTTGAGTGGTTTTGAGTGTATTTTAGTGTAGTGTATACTGTATTGTAAAAATGTAATGCTAGAGTCGATTGGAGTCCATGTTTTGTTTATTTTCTGCCTATATGAGTTAAAGCGACGTGTCATTTACAGCCTATTCAGATTTCTATTTAATTAAACTATTATTGCTCATGGAGGAACGAAAATGAAGCAAGGAAGAAATGGAAAGGAAGAAGAAATTAATTTAAGAAGAAATATGATCTGTATGAGGAAATGTAGGGATAGGGTTCCTTCTAGCCCCATACTAATCGAGAACAAAGCCCTGGTCCCAAAGGTGATCTAATGTCTTTTTTTTCTCCATTGTTCTTTTATCGAGAGCCGTATGTGTCGAGGAAGTATGAAGTTATACGGAAATCTTGTCAAAGTATCTCATTTAGTCTCCCTTTTCACTTCCTTGATCTTAGCTGTAAAAGAGCAATTGTAAGGCCTTTTTAGTTGTGATAAACTGTGACGGTGACCTAATCTCAGCAATAGTGTGTTTTGAGTAAAAGGGGAAGCGGCAGCCTTCAAGCATCTAAATTAATCTTTATTGTTTAAAATCGATCTGAGGTCTAATAGCGGTCAAATCTGAAGGGTGCATAAATTTTTCCCAATTATGGAATTAAGGGTGCAAGCGCTATTTTGTTTAGTGAAGCTTACAGTTGCTTGCAAAGAGACTGCTATAGATCAAGAACACAAGCTATACAATAACTTAGTCAATCTTTGGGTGTAAAAGTTAATTACTGCTGACAGAGTGTGGCATAGAAAGGGTCAGTTACTTCAATAACTCTAAAGTCTAAAGCCAGTAACTGTAACTCTTAATCTGACACTATCTTGCAAATCATACTTTATACCGGAAAATTTTGGTAATATCTGATTTAAAAGAGAATAGGCTTGGTCTATCAGAGACAAAAGGGTTGGGATGGGGACTGTACCCCTTTTCTCCTAACTGTTGACAGTGAGTAAATTGTGCTCCATTTGACAAATTTTACACTTTATATTTCATCTTCCTACTCTTCCCCCTTACTAAAAAACAAACTTGTATTTTTGTTACCAAAACTTGCTATGTTTGTGTAGAATAGTTGATGGAGAGGAAGGAAGGTTTTTCGCTTAGAAAAATTAATTGAATACAAAGTTTCTTTTTGTCTCTGATTATAGCTTTGATACATTGTCAAATTTAGCAGTTCAATAGTAATCTTTAAGACTTAAGGCGGATGAAACTCTCTCCTGATGAAATAGGGAATAGTAAGTTGCTGGCTACTTTTAAATAAAATCTCAAAACTTCCTTCTCTAAACGTTGGGTTACATTTTCTTTCCTTAGAGTTAATTGATTGTAAATTCTAAATGATGTTATTATTTTTATAACGGAGCTCACAGTGTAGCCCCATAATTATACAAAATAGTAGTAACCCATCAAGCCGAAAAAATTTGGATGTACGACCGTACGACCAACCATACAAGGTGCTACTTTTAGCATGTGCGGCCAACTGTACCACAGGCACTATTTTATAATCAATCCTCTACATGGACACAGAGAAGTTGCAAATGAAAATCCATTAATATTACCACGCACTTTATTCATAGTAGGGGCTTTAGTTTTGTTGGAGAGATGTGTGGGAAAAAAATGCGAGCTCCGCTTTTATGCTTGCCTAAATCTATATAATATTTTTAAAATTTATGAATACCTTGAAGCATTATTGGATTGTGTCTAGAAACTGTGCAATACATGTACAATACAATTCTGTTATTAATAACTACAACTAACTATGAGTTCTTGAAATTACTTTCAGGTTTGAATGTAGACTAAAGAGCTTATGGCAATATGACATTGAGTAATATTTACAAACCAGAAGCAAACAAGTTTTCACATCTTGGAAGTGAAGAGGATGATGATTCTGATGACCTCGATGATGAAATTGATGATGGCTATGGGACGGCATTACTTAGCCCAACAAGAAATGTACAAAAACAGTTAATGCCTCCAAACAGGACTACAAAAATCAGGAGAGCACATTCAAAACCTTGGTGCACAACCAGAGCTTGTTTTGTTTTCTTTCTTTGGCTGGCATTTTTTTCTATTTGCATTACTGGACTTGTGTTGCTCATTCTACAAGCAATTGAATCAAAATCCAAGGATTCTGATGCCCATTTTGTGAAGAAGGTTCTTACAGATAAACAAGATGGCTTCTTGAATGACGAGAATAATTTTGCGCCATGTGATGAGCTTGAAGCCACCAAGGTGTGGCATGCAACAATGCCAAAACTTATGACAGAAACTGCTGTGCGACTCAATGATGTGAATGAAGATGGAGTTGATGACCTCATGGTTGGCTTTTCAACTGGTGTAGATGGCTACAATGCACCAAAGATATCTTGTGATCTGTATTTTAATGGCACCTATCCTTGTTATGGTGGCCTTATGGCTCTTGATGGAAAAACTGGCAAACAGTTATGGAGACATTATACCATGCATGAAATCTATTCAGTAAACTGTAATGGTGATTTAGACATGGATGGTGTCCAAGATTGTTTGATATCTGGAAGGGCAGGAGTTTTTCAAGCCATCAGTGGTAAAAGAGGAGAGCTTATTTGGAATTTTGGACCACAGGAATCTAGAGATACCAACATGAACTTGTACACAGCTCAGTTCATCAGAGATTTGAATGGAGATGGGGTGATGGAAGTTCTTGTCACACATGGGGGGGATCCTTTGGCGTAAGTTGATGATATTGCTCTTGAGTTTTCTCAATATACATATATTCATTAACAAACCATTGCTAATACCCATTTATAATCCTGAGAAACGAGTAATTTGCCATCAGGATGGTCATAATCTTCTCAATCATGTGGAAACCAGGCTAAAGAAAATGGTTCTCCTGCCAAAATTTCAAAACAATAGTTTGGAATTTGGAATTCCCCCCCCCCCAAAATAGGAATTTCTTGGTTGTCGATATTTGTAAGGTACTGTT